GGGGTGGGAATAATGGGAATGGGTGGGAATGTGGATGGGATGGGAATGGATATGGGGAGGGTGTGGGGTGGGGTGGGAATGGGGTGGGTATGGGGTATGGGGTAGGAATAGGATCGTGGATCTGGGTTTGTGGCTATGGAATCATGGCTGTGGGTTCCTGGCTATGGGATCATGGCTCTGGGATCGGGGCTGTGGGTCAGGGCTGTGGGTCAGGGCGCTGTGGGTCAGGGCGCTGTGGGTCAGGCTGTGGGTCAGGGCTGTGGGGTCAGGGCTGTGGGTCGGGCTGTGGGTCAGGCTGTGGGTCCGGGCTGTGGGTCGGGCTGTGGGTCAGGGTGCTGTGGGTCAGGCTGTGGGTCAGGCTGTGGGTCAGGCTGTGGGTCGGGGCGCTGTGGGTCAGGGCTGTGGGTCAGGCTGTGGGTCCCGCAGGTGCTGCTGTTCCTGGCCCTGGCGTTCTGCGGGCTGTACCTCATGCTGCAGCTGGAGGTGGGCCTGGACCAGGAGCTCTCCATGCCCACGGTGCGTGGGGTTGGGCGGCGCTGGGCACGGCCGCCTCGGGGCCGGCATCCCCCATGTGGGGCCACCTGGGGCCACCATGTCCCCAATTGGGGCCACCATGTCCCATTCGGGGTCAACCTGTCCCCATGTGGGGTCACCATGTCCCATTTAGGGTCCCCACATCCACATTTGGAGACACTTGGTGCCACCATGTCCCATTTGGGGTCGGCCTGTCCCTATTTGGAGACACTTGGTGCCACCATGTCCCATTTGGGGTCGGCCTGTCCCTATTTGGGGTCCCAATGTCCCTATTTGGAGAAACTTGGGGTCACCATGTCCCCATTTGGGGTCAACCCGTCCCCATTTAGGGTCAACCTGTCCCCATTCGGGGTCAACCTGTCCCCTTGTGGGGGTCCCCATGTCCCCATTTGGAGGCACTTGGGGCCACCATGTCCCCATTTGGGGTCAACCTGTTCCCATTTGGGGTCCCTATGTCCCCATTTGGAGACACTTGGAGCCACCATGTCCCATTTGGGGTCGGCCTGTCCCTATTTGGGGTCACCATGTCCCTATTTGGAGAAACTTGGTGCCACCATGTCCCCATTTGGGGTCAACCTGTCCCTTTTTGGAGACACTTGGGGCCACCATGTCCCCATGTGGGATCACCATGTCCCCATTTAGGGTCCCCACGTCCCCATTTGGAGACACTTGGTGCCACCATGTCCCCATTTGCGGTCAACCTGTCCCCATTTGGTGAATCCTGGGGCCACCAATCCTCCAGTTGGGGTCACCATGTCCCCGTTTGGGGTCTCAATGTCCCTATTTCGAGACACTTGGTGCCACCATGTCCCCATTTGGGGTCAAGCTGTCCCCATTTGGGGTCCCCACGTCCCCATTTGAAGACTCTTGGTGCCACCATGTCCCATTTGGGGTCCCCACGTCCCCATTTGAAGACACTTGGGGCCACCATGTCCCATTTGGGGTCGACCTGTCCCTATTTAGGGTCTCCATGTCCCCATTTGGAGACACTTGGTGCCACCATGTCCCCATTTGGGGTCAACCTGTCCCCATTTGGGGTCTCCATGTCCCCATTTGCAGACACTTGGTGCCACCATGTCCTCATTTAGGGTCAACCTGTCCCCATTTATGGTCCCCACGTCCCCATTTTGAGACACCTGGGGCCACCATGTCCCCATTTGGGGTCTCCATGTCCCTATTTGGTGTCACTTGGTGCCACCATGTCCCATTTGGGGTCTAGCTGTCCCCATTTAGGGTGCCCACATCCCCATTTTGAGACACTTGGTGCCACCATGTCCCCATTTGGGGTCAGCCTGTCCCTATTTAGGGTCTCCATGTCCCCATTTGGAGACACTTGGTGCCACCATGTCCCCATTTGCGGTCAACCTGTCCCCATTTGGAGAATCCTGGGGCCACCAATCCTCCATTTGGGGTCACCATGTCCCCGTTTGGGGTCTCAATGTCCCTATTTGGGGACACTTGGTGCCACCATGTCCCCATTTAGGGTCAACCTGTCCCTGTTTGAAGACACTTGGGGCCACCATGTCCCATTTGGCGTCAAGCTGTCCCCATTTGGGGTCCCCACGTCCCCCTTTGGAGACACTTGGTGCCTCCATGTCCCCATGTGGGGTCACCATGTCCCCATTTGGGGTTCCCATGTCCCCATTTTGAGACACCTGGGGCCACCATGTCCCCATTTGGGGTCACCATGTCCCCATTTGGAGACACTTGGTGCCACCGTATCCCCATTTAGGGTCAACCTGTCCCTGTTTGAAGACACTTGGTGCCACCATGTCCCATTTGGCGTCAAGCTGTCCCCATTTAGGGTCCCCACGTCCCCCTTTGGAGACACTTGGTGCCACCATGTCCCCATTTGGGGTCTACCTGTCCCCATTTGGGGTCCCCATGTCCCCATTTGGACACACTTGGTGACTCCATGTACCATTTGGGGTCAAGCTCTCCCCATTTGGGGTCTCCATTTCCCCATTTGGAGACACTTGGGGCCACCATGTCCCCATGTGGGGTCACCATGTCCCCATTTAGGGTCCTCACGTCCCCATTTTGAGACCCTTGGAGCCACCATGTCCCCATTTGGGGTCAAGCTGTCTCCATTTGGGGTCCCCACGTCTGCATTTGGAGACACTTGGTGCCACCATGTCCCCATGTGGGGTCACCATGTCCCCATTTAGGGTCCCCATGTCCCCATTTGGGGTCAATCTGTCCCTTTTTGGAGACACTTGGGGCCACCATGTCCCCATTTGGGGTCAGCCTGTCCCCATTTGGGGTCCCCATGTCCCCATTTTGGGTTTCCATGTCCCCATTTGGGGCCACTTGGTGCCTCCATGTCCCATTTGGGGTCCCCACGTCCCCATTTGGGGCCACTTGGTGCCACCATGTCCCCATTTGGGGTCCACCTGTCCCCATTTGGGGTCCCCACGTCCCCATTTGGGGCCACTTGGTGCCACCATGTCCTCATTTGGGGTCACCATGTCCCCATTTAGGGTCCCCACGTCCCCATTTGGGGCCACTTGGTGCCACCATGTCCCCATTTGGGGTCCACCTGTCCCCATTTGGGGTCCCCATGTCCCCATTTTGGGTTTCCATGTCCCCATTTGGGGCCACTTGGTGCCACCACGTCCCCATTTAGGGTCCCCATGTCCCCATTTCGAGACACTTGGAGCCACCATGTCCCATTTGGGGTCAACCTGTCCCCATTTGGGGTCAACCTGTCCTCATTTGGGGTCCCCATGTCCCCATTTGGAGACACTTGGTGCCACCATGTCCCATTTGGGGTCCACCTGTCCCCATGTGGGGTCCCCACGTCCCCATTTGGAGACACTTGGAGCCACCATGTCCCATTTGGGGTCCCCATGTCCCATTTGGGCTCCCCATGTCCCCATTTTGGGTTTCCATGTCCCCATTTGGGGCCACTTGGTGCCACCACGTCCCCATTTGGGGTCCACCTGTCCCCATTTAGGGTCCCCACGTCCCACACGCTGTCCCCACATCCCAATTCGGTGCCACCCCGTCCCCATCCGCGCACGCGGCGCCGCTCGGTGGCTTTTGGGGCCCCCGCCGTGCTTGGGGCCGCCCCGCAGCGCTGACCCCACACCCGCAGGACTCGTACATGCTGCAGTACTTCGCGGACATGGCGCGGTACCTGCAGGTGGGGCTGCCCACCTTCTTCGTCACCACGGCCGGCTTCGACTTCAGCAGCACCGCGGGCACCAACGCCGTGTGCTCCAGCGCCGGCTGCGACAACGACTCGCTGACGCAGACCATCCAATACGCCACGCTCTTCCCCAACGTGTGAGTGGGATTTGGGGAGGGGGGGCTGCCCTACAGCCGGCCCATCCCCACCCGGTACCCACCTGGGTCAGCATCATCCCGCATCTGGGGTCACCAACCCCCTTTTGGGGTCACCAACCCCCATCTGGGGTCATCATCCCCCTTTTGGGGTCACCAACCCCCATCTGGGTCACCATCCCCCCATTTGGGATCACCATCCCCCCATTTGGGATCACCATCCCCCCATTTGGGGTCACCATTCCCCATCTGGGGTCATCATCCCCCTTTTGGGGTCACCATCCCACATCTGGGGTCACCATCCCCCTTTTGGGGTCACCAACCCCCATCTGGGGTCACCAACCCCCATCTGGGGTCACCATCCCCCTTTTGGGGTCACCAACCCCCGTCTGGGGCCACCATCCCCCTTTTGGGGTCACCATCCCCCATTTGGCATCACCATCCCACCAAATGGGGACATCTGGGGTCGCCATCCCCCATCTGGGGTCACCATCCCCCTTTTGGGGTCACCATCCCCCATCTGGGGTCACCACCCCCCATTTGGGGTCACCAACCCCCCACCTAGGTCACCAACCCCCATCTGGGGCCACCATCCCCCATCTGGTGTCACCTCCCTCATCTGGGGTCATCATCCCCCTTTTGGGGTTACAACCCCCATCTGGGGTCACCATCCCCCGCAAATGGGGACACCTGGGATCACCATGCCCCCATCTGGGGTCACCAACCCCCATCTGGGGTCACCAACCCCCATTTGGGGTCACCAACCCCCATCTGGGTCACCATCCCCCATTTGGGGTCATCATCCCCCATCTGGGGTCACCATCCCCCCCAAATGGGGACACCTGGGATCACCATCCCCCCATTTGGGGTCACCATCCCCCTTTTGGGGTCACCATCCCCCATCTGGGGTCATCATCCCCCATTTGGGGTCACCAACCCCCATCTGGGGCCACCATCCCCCTTTTGGGGTCATCAACCCCCGTCTGGGGTCACCAACCCCCATTTGGCATCACCATCCCCCATCTGGGGTCACCAACCCCCATCTGGGGCCACCATCCCCCTTTTGGGGTCATCATCCCCTATCTGGAGTCATAACCTCCATCTGGGGTCACCATCCCCCATCTGGGGTCACCATTCCCCATTTGGCATCACCATCCCACCAAATGGGGACATCTGGTGTCACCACCCCCCATTTGGGATCACCACCCCCCATCTGGGGTCACCAACCCCCATCTGGGGTCAACATCCCCTTTTTGGGGTCATCATCCCCCTTTTGGGGTCACCACCCCCCATCTGGGGTCACCAACCCCCCACCTGGGTCACCACCCCCATCTGGGGTCACCATCCCCCATCTGGGGTCACCATCCCCCTTTTGGGGTCACCATCCCCCCTTTGGGGTTACAACCCCCATCTGGGATCACCATCCCCCCATCTGGGGTCACCAACCCCCATCTTGGGTCACCATCCCCTATCTGGGGTCATCATCCCCCTTTTGGGGTCACCAACCCCCATCTGGGGTCAGCATCCCCCCATTTGGGGTCACCACCCCCCATCTGGTGTCACCATCCCCCCATCTGGGGTCACCATCCCCCATTTGGGGTAACCACCCCCATCTGGTGTCACCATCCCCCCATCTGGGGTCACCATCCCCCATTTGGGGTAACCACCCCCCATCTGGGGTCACCATCCCCCCATCTGGGGTCACCATCCCCCCATTTGGGGTCACCACCTCCATCTGGGATCACCATCCCCCAATGGGGTCACCATCCCCCATTTGGCATCACCATTCCCCATTTGGGGTCACCACCCCCATGTGGGTGCACTTGGTGTCACCATACCTCCACATGGGGACACTTGGGGCTGATTTGGGGTCCCCATCCCCCATTTGGGGTCACCATGTCCCCATGTGGGGCCACCATGTCCCTATTTGGAGACACTTGGGGTCACCATGTCCCCATTTGGGGTCACCATGTCCCCATGTGGGGCCACCGTGTCCCTATTTGGAGACACTTGGGGCCCCCATGTCCCCATTTGGGGTCACCGTGTCCCCATCTGGAGACACTTGGGGCCACCATCGCTCCACATGGGGACACGTGGGGCTGATTTGGGTCCCCACCCCCATTTGGGTCCCCCCCCCATTGGGGTCCCCATGTCCCCATTGTGTCCCCACCCGCTGACCGCGCTGCCCCCAGCTCGTTCCTGGCCATCCCCGCCACGTCGTGGCTGGACGACTTCCTGGACTGGCTGAGCCCCACCGCGCGCTGCTGCCGCGTCCACAGCGCCGCCAACGGCAGCGGGGGGTTCTGCGCCTCCACCGACTGTGAGCGGGCCGGAAGTGGGGCGGAAGTGGGGCGGAAGTGGGGTGGAAATGGGGTGGAAGTGGGGCGGAAGTGGGGTGGTGGGGTGGAAATGGGGCGGAAGTGGGGCGG